CCCAGGAGATGTATGTTAATTATCCAGGAGACAGACTTCTTCAAGTAAAACTCCCATTTGTACTATATAGGTAGTGAGTAACATGTAGGATTACTGACTGATGTTGAGGATGCTTAAATCGGACAGTAGAAGGCAGCCAGCTTTATCATCTAACGTTCTCTTTTTGCCTGCTGTTCTTTTCCAGTTCCTTCGTGGTCTCTTTCCACTAACCTTTAGAAGTTTTTTAGGTCTGGGGATGATCATCCAGGCCAGATGCGACTTCCCTTGCTTTGGGAAGGGGTGTTGTAAGATCATCCCAGGGTGTCGTAATTTCTGAATTATCTGCTTATTAATCTTTTGCGTAATACCTTCCTCAACGGTTAGTCTTTGGGAGGTACCAGTTAGGCAGCTTGTCTCAGTTGTTGGACTTGTTCCAACAACCAGGATTTTACTGTCAAAAACTTGCCATTATCCCTTTTGTGGTTTGTTTTTTTTTTTGGGGGGGGGGGGGGGGGCGGGCGGGACATGGAAAAGGAGATGAAAATGGACAACCAAATTCTCTCTTGCCCTTTGGGGGAATCAAATACTAGTTGTCAGAACTCTTTAGTTAGTAGAAAAACTGACCACCAGTGAGAGTAGTGTGTATCTTTATTATCACTGAAAGTATTTTACTTGGGCTTGATTTGTCAAACCAGGGAGGTAGAGGATAATAGCGAATTTATTCTTAACGCATGTTACGTTTGTGCAATAATAATGATGTTGCACATCTTGCTTGTTCTAGGCTTTTTTTAGACAGCAAATCTTCTTTGACAAATCTTCTTTGACAAATTTTTGTCACTAATTTTTTTTGGATAATAGCTTATTCATAGGTAGTAAAATAATCCGATGGTTGATGACAGCTGTTATCCCAGCAGACTCACGATGCATAGCGTAATTACCTTTCCTCTAGAGAAGACCAGTAATGCATAGTGTAATTACCTTTCCTCTAGAGAAGACCAGTCTTTCTGGGGGGGATAAAAAGATCTATACCATCGACCATCTTAAATTGGTCTGATGGTAGACTGGGGCATTTTAGAAGAGGTCTTTAAAACTTTTTGCAGTCACAAATTGAGTGATGCTTTCAGAGTTTACTTTCACCTTCAGACTTTAGCATGTGCTACGCTTTCTAGGAATTGACTTACTCTGAAAATGAAGACATGGTGAAGGCTTTGAGCCTTCGCTGGGCTTGATTGTGTAGAGGTGGGGCTGGGCTGGGGCGTGATCCTGCTCTGGCAGTACTCGGAGCTGGAAGCTGTAATGCACAGGATTTTGAGAATCTGGTCTATGAGTTGACAAGTAACACCTGGCATTTCATTAGAAGACTAGAAAATGAGGCACTTTGAAAAGAACTCTTGCTAGTTCAGAAGGGGATTGACTTGTCTGAAGTACTTCCTCCTGTCAGACCCAAGCTTAATTTCTTCTTACTTTTATGCTCTTGTGGTACTTAACTGCTGCTAATTCTTACTATTTAAAATGTCTTTGAGGAATTACAAGTTCATGAAGGAAATGTGGACTTCCTGCTACCAAAATACCGCAGCATTTTGGAAGAGGCAGATCAGCTGCTTGAGGAATACAAGAGACAACCTGCACATCTCGAGAGACTTTATGGTTTGTCGATCAATTCAACTCTATTCAAATGCAACTTAATGTCCAGAGAGCGCGCTGGACGTGACTGAAATAGTTACGAAGTCAGTATTAGCAGAATTGAAATAATTTGGTAAGTGGGTACACTTGGGTAGCTTCAGGACAGCAATAGGTATGTGAATATATATGTCTGGTCATACAGCCAAGGCTGCATATTTACATAATGTTTTTGATAATAAAACTCTGAAGTTAAAAGGTGAGGCAGTAAAACCTAGCACATACTGAAAATGGCTTGTATGCTACTACAAACTTTGAGTAACTCCCTAAAGGTTCTCAAGAATTGTTCGCCTGAGAACTTCTAAAATAGATTTGGCATCACAAGCGTATCGCTGAGAATGAAAATACCAGGATTATTTGCAAGTGACTTTTCTGCTTTTTGTTTAATAGACAGCTTCTTATATTCGGATGATCCTTGTCCTTATGGACACAATTAAGGATCGTCTTCAAATTCAGGATGGCATTTGAGAACGTGTACAAGTTAAGTGAGTGAGCGAGTTCTGAGTGGTTAAGTTTTGCAAAACGTGAGAGAACCAGAAAAATGCACATGGGGTGGGAAGGGGGACTCTGAGGAGATGATCTAATTCAGTGAAGGAAATCCTGTAACCACCTCTGGTGTTCCCCGTACAGCTTTCAGCTCAGAGAATCTCTGCCGGGCACCAGCTTTAATAAGCCTACGTATACACAGCGTAAGCAGAGTCCTCATTGCCCATCCTCTGATAGCTCCTCTCTCTTTAGTGTTTCAGATGTGGGTAATTCTAAGGCAGATATCCACACTTTGGAATGAAGCTGGAATCTGGGCTGTTCTAGCAGTGGTTTAGGTTTGTTTAAAAGTAAATCAGTTTGAAATGTGAAGTTTAAAAGGAGTCTTGTCTAAACCCAGAATCAGCTAGAATAGTTGGTACATAATAATGAGTTAAAAGTAGAGATACCTCATAATGAAAACAAGGCAAATAATAAGTCCTGGGATTTTACCTTTGCAGGTATGATCACAGATCTCTTCATAGATAAATTTAAATTTAAAGGCACCAACGTGAAAACGAAAGTTCCTCTTCTTCTGGAAATTCTGGATGGCTGCGATCAAGACGGACTAATTGCTTTTTTTGAGGCTGCAGCCTGACAAGGAAAAAGCAGAGTCATTTTCTTTCTTTTTTTTTTTTTTAATCAGGGCAGTTCAATATCGAGTCCAAAACACTTTTTAAGAAGAACCTTTTTACTCTTGTGCTGTCAGCTCTTGGGTTTTATTCGTATTTATTATCGTACTGAATGCAGTAGTCAGCTCTAGTGCACATAGGCTGTGTGTTAAACGCGCGCGGAGTTTGTGTACGCAATGTTCTTCATAGCTAAAGAAAACTTATGTAAACACCAGCTCCCCTTTTTGCACAAAACACGTTTTTCGGTACCGTTGAAGGCCCCGTGCAGCAGTCCCTTCGCCGGTGGCGAGAATGAGCAAACGGGTTTTCAGGGACTTAACCGGATTTGGAAGAAATTCGCGTGTTGAACTACGCGTGGCCGTGGTATTTGCCCGGTGGACAGCGGTAGGGGAGCCTCGCCGGACCTGATGGAGCTGCGAGGGGGGGGGGGGGACGGGAGGGGGGGGGGAACCA